AAACTCTTCCTGATTAATGTGATTCTCGACAGGTGGCTCCCTGTGATAGGGCAGTGAGTAATAATTCCTCCACCGCACTGAGAACTCCCCCCTACATTTATCAAGTCCTGATCACATGGTCCCATTAAGCTAATTGTATCAGGGTCTTCTTCTTATCCATGGGACTGGAGGAAGACACCAGACAATTGGTTAGTGGGTTTAGTCAGTCTGAGCCGCAAGCTGTGATGTTTGCCATGATTTAGCACTTTAAATCAACAGCTACAGTCAACTAAAAACCGCATCATCATCCTTAGTTTGCTTTGCTCTTGTTGTTACTCAACACATTTCACACCATCTGTCCATTCTTTCTTATTTAGCTGAATTTCAAAGTCCCCTTAGTTGGTTTGAAGAGATGTGCACTGGACAAAAATTGTCACTTTGTCAATTTTGGGTTTTAAGTGAAGAGTTCAGTTTCAACATGATGTGCTATTCTGATACATAGTCTGGAGTACTGGCCAATGAGTACCCCTCTGACACTTTGGTACGAATTCATGTTATTAGCAAACAGCTATAAGTTATATCACCTTCACTGGATGAATGTTTCATGATCACTATAATTTTAGTATGGCCTATTGGCCTGTACATTTAATGAATCCTAACCCCCCAAACAACCAATTCACCAACACACAAGCTAAGCTAACGTAAGGAGCATTAGCATTCCTCTCCCCAAAGAGTGCCAGAGAAACCATGATTTTAAATACAGAACGATTAAATTTGAGCTTTTACACAATTTTAATATCTTAATTAAAACTTTAAAAAGTCCAACTTTTAGATATGTAATTAAAAAAAAAACACTGATGACTGACAATTTATTTACTTTAACGTTTAACACTTTCCTCTAGCAGAACACTGCCTTTCTATAGCTTCTTATCGAATGAACAAATAGGATGATATTGAACCAGTCATCTAGAAAAGTCATCATGGAAAGACGAAGATTGAACAATTTCCACAAATGCAAAACTAGTGGTGGGTGGGTAATGCTCCCCATCAGTGAACAGCTGCCATTCTATTTTTAAGGTGGCTTAGAGCAAAACCTTAGCCCCCAGTCCCAATTTGTTTTACTGTATCTGTATATGGTGACTTATAGAGCCCGACCGATTAATCTGCCAGCTGATGATATTGGCTGATATTAGCATTAGCACTAGCCTGGAGGCTATTTAAAGGTAGAGTCAGTCGCATTGATTCTTTGCAGTATTCAAACCAGGCCACTCCTCCTCGGCTCAGCACTACCAGAAGCTCACTCTCATACATAGTGTGTACATTTACTACTTGTACCTTCACTGCAAACACACCATCTCCCCGCCAAGAAACGCCCCGAGTCAACCTAAACAAACCAAATTGTGTAATGTGTTGCTTGGGCAGCTTTACTTCTGACAAATAATTTACGAACTAATACAAAAGTCTTTTGAAGGAATAAGTGACTGAACCTATCTTTTGATGTGCCTATATGCTTCATTTTTTCTCTTGGTGCCTTTCCCTTTCATTTACACCCTTCTTCAGTAGTTACCGGTAATATTAGTTGCCAATTTGACCTACATGTCATCCAGCTGTGTTTATGACATGAAGTTGCGAAGTCATAGTGACCAGCTTTATTAAAAAGCTCATTTTTGGAGCAGACACAAGGTGTTACCCAGGCACCATATTGTCTGACCTGTCCCCACTCTGTCCTCCTCTGCAGCATGTGATTAATGAAACTGCAGGACAAGCTGAACAATGAAGTCTCCAGTGGTACATTGTGCTTCTCAAGACTGCCAGTGGCAATGTGCCCCTGTGCCCCACCTCTGGAGACCCCTGGGGACCAGAGGAGTTTCCCCACTTATTCCATTCTTCATCACACTCATTTCCTGACTTTTTTTTCATCATGACAGGTCTAATCTTATGAAATATAGCAAACTTTATTTGACATTTCTAAGCACACAGTAACTTCTGGTGTCTGAGACATCTCATAATCTCGTACCCCGAGGTGATGTTTGCTAAACTCAGCATGTTGAATTTTGCTTACAGCAACCCCGACCCTCGGGCTCAGTGAGGAGAATTAAGGGAATGCTAATGTCTCCAATGTTGTGTGAGATAAGGTTTCTCTCTCCTCAAGCAGGTTTTGTTAAATTTTGGTGCTCGCATTCATTTTCCTGGAGGCAAAAGGCTTAGTATTTCTCCATTGTCACATCATTTTCAGTGCCTCTAAACGATTCCTTTTAAATTGTGTCGTTTGATCTGTAAGAAAGTTTACCTCATTTGTTGTAGTTTTCATATAATATGAGCCCCATTACTTGGTACTTTCACAACAACTTTCTACTCTATATTATAATAGAGTAGACAAACTGGGGTGTACAGTTCGAATAGTATTTAGTGTTAGCAGTCTCATTTAAATGTCAGAGATACTTCTTTAAACATTTTTCAACTCAATTTGAGCCAAACCGTTTCCTTGTAACATCAACTTCTGTTGTCTTTAAAAAAAAGGGGGAACTGATTTTATTCATTGAAGTCTGTTTACAGTGCTAACAGTTCTTGAGTATTATTATGGCATATGTCGGGGGAAAAACCATAGACTGTAAAAAAAACAAAAAACAGTAAGCATTTGTGTCCCCAGAAGGAGCTGTGCAAAGTATACGAAAAATCACTTGAAGTGATGCCATATTGTCGGCAACAGGATTTAACCAGGAAGGAATACTTAGAGTGAAAAAGATCTATTCATTTATTGATTGTGGGTCTCAAGTAAAACTATAGACACATTTTGATGGCAGATTTGTGGGAGCTGTCATATTGCATTTCCAGCCTTAATTATGGTGTTAGCTCAGTTTCTGCTGCTGACTGTGACAGCAGCTGTAATTGTTGGATTAATGAAACGTTAGACATCTGCTGATTAATAAACCTTAATGCATCTGCAGTGTACTCTTCAGGAGTTGTGGAGATTAAAAGGCTTTGAATTTATTTGAATTCACAGAGCTAGGAGGAAAACGTCTTCATATTACCAGAAAAAGTTCATTGTAAAAAGTCAGTTTGGTCCATAATAAGTTTTGCAGCAAATATAATTAACAGTTTAGAAAGTAATTTACAGTTAGACAATCACATTTAGAAACTGTCAGCACATGTGGAGGTGTTCAAATTAGCAGAAGAACTGTTATCTCTTTTTCATTGTTCTTTGATTGAGAAACACTCATGGAAACTATGATTTTATTTTTTATTTTTATTTAACCTCATCAGTGGATTTTGAAAAGTTAGTCACCCTGTAAATCAGTTAAACCCCCAAAAGGAAACCTAAAACTTTCCTCTCTGCCTGCTAATGTCAGCGAGTAAAAGGGACAGGTTGTAGTTTGGTTATGCTCTGATCTAAAGCTGGTCTCTGAGGCTGCCTGATGAGTAAACAGGAAGCAGTAAGATGTCATTAACAACCGTTGGTGCCGCTGGCCAAAAGTTAGCTCTCATCAGAAAGCAGCTGTTTGGATACGGCCCTCAAACCGAACACATTGTTTTGATTTCTTTGCTCTTTGATGAAATGCTCTGATGATGATGATGAGAGTGCTACCTTCTAGTTTTTCTATGAGTAATCCTAACACACCTGTACTGTAACAAGTCACTTCACCTGTGAATAGGTTTTCATTGCTGATGCAATATCACTTTTAGCACATTGGCTTTTGTGTGACTGCAGTGTGCAAAATCTCTTAAGGGATAGAGGACCTGCACATCAGTGAGAGCCTGTGATGTGAAGCTTTTCCCTCCAATAGCCCACTGAGTGTCTCTCACTCGTCCCCCATCAGTCTCAGTCCTGTCAGCAGAGAGACTGCAGCTCCGCTCATTAACTTGGCCTGCGGGCAAAACTGCAGACTGGTCAGGTGTTATAACCCGCATTGCCTATCGTGTGAAATACTCTATTCTTGACAACATTTGGAAACTTGTACTGAGCAAAATACAATGAATACTAAACTGACTGCAGCTGCTTGTGGTTACAGGCTGTAATAAACTGTTTATTTTTTTACTACTTATTAGATGTAGCAGACTTTTTCTACTTGTAAGCTAGTAGAAAGACAACGTGTGCTAGAATGAGATTCAGGGAGACTTCAAAAGACTAACAGATTGGAGAGTCTTTCCATACAAAAACAAGTTAGAACATTGCCTCATCCCTGTCGGAGCTGTCGCTTGGATATCATTGAATAGAAATGCTGTTTTGTTTTGTTTTTTTAACTCATGTTGCTCTGAGATTGTTGCGTGGCTCAGGCTGGTGTAAGTGTTGTAGTACACAGTGGTGTGTTATTGAAAGCTCTTCTACCTGGAGTGCAAAAGGTCACAATGAGCTTAAGGTTTGAGTTTGTTATATTCAAACGAGAAAAAAAAAAACCCAGGCCCAGAGGGACCCTGATAACAAGGCTGTACAAATCTCTGCTCACAAAATGTCTGAGTAAATATTAGCCTTGGGCACCACAAAGTAGGACACCTGATTTCAATTCCACTGTTGTGACTGTTAAAAAGCCTCCCAAGTTGATGTTGGAGAAATACATTTCAGTGTACATGTATATTTTTATATTTGATCTCAAATGGAAATATAGAACAATGCAAAATACTAAAATATGTAACTAATTAATATTCCAATTATACTTTCAGGCAGTGTTGGTGCATTGGAAACATTTTGTTGCTGCATTTGATGTCTTTAGTATGGCAGCTTTAACCAGCTGTAATTGTCTCATTATTCCTGACAACAAGTTTTTAATTAAATATCATATTCGTATTTTGTTTGCTCTGAGTGTATTTGAACCTCCTGCCCTCACACATAGCATATTTCATGGCAAAATATGTAGTTGGGCATTGGGTGTTGGAGCTCAAGTAGAATTTCTCAAATGAAAATGTATTTCTTATACTTGTGTTTGGATGAAGTAGTTTGACTTTAATATCTAACACCGTGCATACATGTTCTCTTAATCTTTCTCATACATTTCCATCATTTGTCGTTTCAGCTGTGAAGATCAGCAGACATCCAAGGCTGCATTTTCTTCAGAAATCAGGTAAGAAAATTAATGTCATAGACGCGAGTGCATGAAGTGACAGAATGGCCCTTTTTAAACATTCATTTATGTTTATTGTGTAGTGGGATTAGAATGGAGAACGTTTGATGGCTGTTTATATACTGCCACATTATATAGATGTTTGTATGCGTTCTCAGCGCTTCACAATATGGTGCTGCACAATGCAGCTAGAAAATGGCATGGAAATGTGTGATTTGTATTACATTAGATTAAAATGTAAATCACTAACGTAAAGAACTATAATGGAAACACTTATTGAAAACCCTTTCAATGTTATTTTAGGTTGTGTTGACACCTCTAAAGCCAATGAAGTCTCATTCCCAAACACCTGTGTGGTTATGTTCCTTTAAGCAGTTCACACACACTGGATCAAACATTCTTTAGCTGGTCAAACATTTTAGAAGGCATTAAGCATTAAGCAAACATTAAGTATGACTCATTGTAACATACTTTTATAAATGTATAATGCTATACTAGTGTCGTGATAGCTTGCAGCAGCATCCATGTTAGACTAACTCTTTCAGTGTGCTTTAAAATGTTAAAAAGTCAATCAGCGCTTTCTTTATGATTCTGATGTTTTTTTTATTCGTCTTTGCTGCTCTTAAATGACACAATAGCAACTGCAGCTTCTTTGTTTTTTCTTTGCACTTATATTTTATGTTGTCTGTTAACTCGTTTAGCCTCATGATTCATTCTCTGCATTTAGAAAATCGCACACACACAGAGTGAAAGCATTGGCTCATTCCTCTCTGTCTGTTTTCCTCCCAGCAAAGCTGAGGCTGTGTTTGTGTGGGACTGTTTGGAGGCCAGACATACATGTTTGGCTGACACATAGCACGTGCACTGAATTGATAACCATGTGATCTTTTCTGTGCACACAATTTATGCAAGGTAATAGATGTCTTGATATGTTGAATGTGTTTGTGCCTGCACACTTCTTTCAATCTTTCCAAGGCAGTACATTATCAGTCTGACTCAGTTACAGTAACTTGCAGCATCTGGTGCGCAGCCTCTCACTGTAACCATGCTCCTATCAGCCAATGAGGGTGCAGCCATGAGCACTATAGTTTCCCAATGATGAGTGACCTTTTATGTGAATTTGTCTTGTACCATACCATGCTTCAAGAATGAATTAGGTCTAAATGTTACAGTTGTGCAGGGATGTACTGTAAGGCTCAATGGATATTCTGTATTTTATGCTGGAAAATGCTCCTCTTGCCATTGGCTTTCACAACTTGGCATGCTGCAAGTGGTCTAAAAGAGGGAGGGATACAGCAAATCAGTGTTCCATATTTGAAACCAACCACACTGCTTCTTTATACATATCTTTTTATTTCTCTGTCACTGTATTTTATTGTGAGGAAAACCTCTGATTCTGCAGTTGAGTTAAGCATTTCCCTTTTGTACAACCAATTTTTACAGTGCATTTCAAAAGGATGCTTTGCTCGCAGGATAATGTGGTAAAAAAAAAAAATAGTTCAGCACAGTTTCTTTTGGACAACAAGAGCATTATGTAAATCCACTGTAGGAGTTTGTCTTAGCCGTATCGCACATGGCTTTCCCTAAATGATGCCAGTCCAGCCTCGGCCTCTTATTTAATGTTCAGACAGTTAACAGATCCGAGCTGGATGCTCAAACATAGCCGAATCTAATGAATCAGTGTTTGAACCAAAGTCTGCAGGTATAGGATCAAGTGTTTATGCTACTGTATTTCCTGTCCTTCATCTTCTTTTATATTTATTATTTATTTTAAATTTAAAAGCTTTAGAGAAATGTTTTATCTTCCTTGTTTGCAGTGGCTGCTTTTTCTGTGAGGGAAGCAATCTGATGTAAATCTCTCTTTTTAGGATTTTAGTCACACTTTTGAAGCCCCTCGTTCTGTTACCTGACATTTAAAAATGAGTAAGAGCTTAAGTTAAGTGCATTAAGTAACAATACTCTGGCATATTTTTAGGTTGGATTCCTCAGCCAAGATGGAAAAAAATCAATTTAATTGGATTTGGCACTTGTTTGTTTCTGTGATTAGGGCTGGTGTAAGTACTATGCATGTAGGTTTAAACAGCCTGACTTTTCCACATGGCTCAGCTTTGAGCGCTTGTTCTCAGTGGATTTTTTTCTGGGTGGTGGTTTCAAGTCAGCCGTTTTCTTGTCAGCTTGATCATTTATTGTATATAGACCCTTTAAGAGCATTGCAACAGCTTGGCCATGTGTTTTTTTTCCTTCCTGAAGAGAAGATGTCTTCGCTGACGATGTCTCCGAGAGGTTGATTCACAGCCTGAGCAGTCTCATGTTTAGACCTCTTCAGAGTGTGTTCCTCTGGAGCTCAGCCAGCATGCCAGACTCAGGATTGACTCTGCAGTAACTCTGTGTAGATGGGACTGCACCCAGATTCATACTCTGAGGGCTGCAGGCATAACATCAGTGTTACCAATCATAACTCATATATTTCACAGATTCTGTGGATTGAATATTAAACAAGACTTGAATTATCATAAGATAGGCCTATATCAATGTTGTTTTGCTTCACTGTAGAAATCACTGTTTTTGTACATCCAGAATTTTGGTAACATTTGTGAGAAAGTCTTTATCCACCATGATGACTTTAAATGCAGAGTAACATCTGGTTTTAAACAGATGTTGTAGAAATTTTGAGTCAACATAGCAGCATCATTCAACTGCACTGTTAGCTGTTTTTAGTCAATTTCAGTTGATCACAACCGATGACAACTGGGTCTACTACTCAGCTCCATGTGTTTTAACTGATGAAGGGGTTATAAAATTAATATTGAACAAATTACATCGTTAAGATTTCATGTTAAAGTTCAATTAGACTGAAATACAAAGACGTGAGATGAATAGACTAAGATTTTTTTCTTATTTGACAAAACAGTTCTTGGTTTAGTGTAGTGGACATAATATGCAGTTAAAAATCTTAATCAAAATATATTGTATTGCGAATCTCAGCATATCGCAAAATGTGTAAAATTGCAATAGAATCGTACCGCGTCCTGAGTATCGCGATAATATGGTATCGTGGGGACTGTGGTGATTCCCACCCCTTATGGGAAGTCTGTCAAGTGTTCCCTAAATGGACTCTTCTGTGATGTACTTGGGAAACAAGACAGTGAGGTCACACTTAAAATAATACATTTTATTGGTAAAATAATGATGCAGAACTTATTTTAACCATTGTACCACCATGAGAAAACGTGTGTCCTTGAGAAGTAAACATTAAAGCTGTCGTTCAAGCTTTTAGGAAGTTAGTGTTTCACAGGAGAATTATTGGGTAAAGTAAAATATTAGTTTGAGCACAAAGGGCTCTCATGATTCATCCTGAACAGATTTTGTTTGTACCAGCAGGAAAACATTTTTTTTTTTTGCTGCATATTTAAATCTTCCAGCAGAAGTGAGCCTCAGGGCAGCGATGTGACTAATCATTAATTATGTCAACCTGCCATTTCTTATTTTTATGAGGACTGTTCTGTATGCTTGGAGAATGACTGGCTCCTCCTGACCACATCCTACTGTTTCAGCCTCACTATCACTGCATTCATTACACTTAAACAGACACTTTCCTGGTAAGCGGTGACCGTGCTTCTTTGAGGGGTGACAGAGGCCAGCAGCTGGCTGGCAGTGTCACAGTGAGTCACCTGTTTTTCCCAGTAGAGTCGCTGTTTCATTGAGAGCGTTGTGTAATCCCGTCGGTGCCACGGCCAAATGGATCAGGCTTAAGTGTTCAGAAACCCATTGGCCCTTCTGATCATTTGATTCATTGAAACAGGCTCTGATATTGTTGACAATAAAATGACTGAACATCTTAGTTGCTGTTATATTGAAGTGTTTTACTAGCCAGAGTTATAATAACATTGTACATCTTAAATCATTGGCTTTGAAATGTGGTCTCAACAAACCACAGTATTTTCTTTATGACTGATGTTGCGCTCCTCAGTAAAAATGCTCTGACTGATCCTTGCCCACATCGATTTTAATAGCAGCTTTAATTCACCTGTATGTTTGTTTAATAGATTTATTCATACTAGGTTCTCACTAATCTTTCTTAATAGCCAAGATTTACATTTTTTTAACTGGCTCCATTAGGAAGCCAATCCAGACAAAAGGTGTTTAAATCCACCAAGCACAGTTATTATATTGACCTTTACATACATAGACAGGTTTTGTTGATTCTCATCACTTTATGATATGACTTCACGCCTTACGAGTGTTTATGTGACATTGTCACATAATGCCTATTATTAGGGTTTTAAGTTCTGATGCATCCGACTTAAATCCTTTTCATAATGTTGGTGAAGATTGTTGACATGACTTTACTTAATTTATTCTGTATATTTGATTACAAGAACAGCTCATGTTAACAAGTTAATTTTGCTTTGTAAGTTTTAAAAGTAGCTCATGCCTTTAAAAAATGTAGCATATTGTAAGTTTAAAGAAGCATACAATTTAATGACAAGCACTAGAGTAAGTACCCTCAAAAACTTATTGCGCTAACTTATTATCTAAGTAGGTACTATCCACAAAAAGGTGTAGTCATTGAGGGTGTTATTTGTCAGGATGGGTATTTATAGTCCAGCTTAAAATCATAGTGTAAAAAGTCCTTAAGAAATCATTTCCTTACAGATACCTCCTGCTAACCCATTATTCACAACAAAAGACTGGAGCAATCTGTAGAAGATTGTTTTTTATTATGGAGTTTTTTAAGTAGACACCATGTTATGATGCACAATCATGCACATACCTCTAGATATTAGTTCACCTCTTCCTGTAAGACTGTGCATTTCTGGGAAGCAATAACACGAGTGAGTCATAAACATGTGGAAGATACAAGCGTCAGGGTGGTCTATGTCTGGTTTGGTGACCTTCGCATTTCAGTGTCCTTGATGTATACCTAAGTTTGCTAAAATGATTTGGACAGCAGAGGCTGGAAGGAGAAGGACTTCGGTCTGATTCTGAGTATGATTGAG